GTGGCTGCAGACACAGTGGCTGGAGTAGCACCGTGCATCATGGGTACTTGGAGGGAAAGATCACACAGGCAGTTGAACCAGAGCAGATTTGAAGCTTTTTTATGTTAACACTTCATTTGTACGTCTGTTTATAGAATGCTAATAAACATGAGAAAAGCCACTGATAGTTTGAAATAGCTTGTTTTGTTCTTTCTAACAATTACTCCACCAATTTGAGTAAAGGGAAAGCAACAGGCATGCTGTGGAGGAAGAAAAAGAAACATCAGGGGAATTATTTACAGTGCAAAGTAGTTAATTGCCAAATTTGAAGATCAAAATATAAATTCAGATGGCAGTATCTTTATTTTTCTTGTGGCATTCATACTGAAAAGGCTAGTTAATTGGCTTTTGTTTCACCTCCCTAAAATAGGAACACAAAAATTACCGCTACAAATGATGCTAAAATTAAACTAAACAACAAACAATACACCTACCACTACTTCTACTACAATAATAACTCCTCATGTTTATATGGCATGTATAATCAGACAGTATAATGAGGTGCTCTAGAGGTTAGAGAGCTTGGGATGGAAGTATAATGAAGCTAGGGTCGGGTGGATTTTGAACTGCAACAAGCATTAGGTGACAGACAGAACTGTGGCAGAGCAAATAAGAGTTCATTCCATACCACAAATACGTATTGCATAAGAGTATAATAAAAACACATCAACTTCCAATTGAAATTACACACTACAATTCTTTATTTTTATCAGCCACACTGTCGACCGCATTGCAAAGAGATTACATATGCTGTTTCAGGTTAATGTCAAAGTCTAAATTCACAAAATGGAGAATGTGCTCACGTTATATGGTGAGTTGAATGACACGTGAGTGACTAAAATGGGCTCAAAGATAATCAGTAAGGAAAGCTGGCACCTACCAACACTTGTTGCAGGTGTCATGCACAATATCGAGCCTGCCCATCATGCATTGCAACAGGGAGTGGAGTGAATAGGGAGGAGAAGAAATCAAGTGTTATAAGGTCAGACATATTGGATTCAACCTGGGTGTGAATGCTGGCTTCAATACAATAGTGATATAGCTGATTATGTACCAATATTGATTAATAATAATTACACAAAATGATCATTCATTTGCACACATCACAGTTGCTGCTACCACACATACTGCACAGCATAGGAAGCATATGCATAAGATATTAAGCTCTGAGTTGTGGAGAACCTTATACTGTCTGTCCAGCCCCAGTTTACTGCTCACTGCTCCATTAAATGGAAGGGCAGATTAAACACTACCACTGGTCCCATTTTCCTGTCAGCAGCTTAACAGCTGTTTGCGTGGTAGTTTTTGAATGACCTGCTTTCAGAGTCCTCAAAGTGTCTTGCAGTGACCTGACAGTCCAGTAGTGTGGGACATATGAGGATCTGAGTATCCGAATCTCTCACAGAAGGGAATCGATGGCAGGCTATTCTTAGGCTGTCAGATGAGAATATGGGACACAGTGTAAGATGACTATGCAGTGGCCAGAGAAGTACAGCTCAAATAAGCTGTGTGTGTGTGTGTGTGTAGTGTATATACACACATACTGTATATTAAGGCCGCAATTTCCACTGGGGAAAAAGTGGAGACATGTTCCCCCACTTTGCAGTTTGAGTTTGATTTACTTAATAAAATCTCTCTAAACTGTGTCATCTTACAGTCCAGTTAGATAAGAAAGAAAAAAGGTGATAAAAAATGTTGACTGATCATCTGGTTCACTTTGTTACTCTGCATTACCTTTTGATGCCTTAAATTTTGCCGGTCAGGCTGCCCTGACTATCTGATGGGTGGAGTATCTTCTGGTTGGATGCACCATGACAGGAGACTCGTGTTAGAGCCAAAAAAAGCAATGTTAACCATTCTGAAATGTTTTTTGGATAGGTTTGTTTTTTCAGTTGATTATGGGAAATTCTCCTGAAAAGAAGCCTAAATAGATTATCAATTAAAGACGAGGCAGTAAAGGACAGTGCTGCTGATGCAAGAATTGATATGTAGTTAAAGATCTGTATCCATGAATCCTATAAATGCATAAAATATCAATCATAGTATCTTTAAACAACCCCGACCTCTGACTCTAAACCTAGACCCATGCTGTACATACATGTGCAATTAATTCCATGCGAGTTCTTCAACTTTGTCACCAACAATGAAATCACACAATCATTCAGCCATTCACTGCTGATGCCAAAAGACAATAAGGGAGATTTGTGAGACAGTACATGTGATTTGAGAGCCAACAGCAATGGAATAACTGCAGCAAACACGTGTCAAAGGAGGCTCAGTTCTTACCTGATGGTATGAAGGCAGCCTGCTGCTGAAACTGCATGTTGGCCAGGGCCTGTTGGTACTGGAATACGCCAGCATTGAACATAGTGGTGGCACCGTTGGCTTTTTCAAGTGCAGGTCTCTTTGGTAAAGGAGGCAAGACGGGAGGGAGCCCCTGATGAGGGGACAACACCAAAATAAAGGGATGGGAGTGAGGGAAATCAAAGGATGGTAGCAGTGACATTCAGGACAGAGAGAAGAAAGAATTTCATTAGAAGATAAAGTTGCCCTTCCAAACAGCTATTACAAACACTGGCAAGCAAGCAGTGGACTACACTACCTCTGTCAGAGAAAGACAGGACAGTGGCGCTAGCTGACAAACTGTGACATCTATCCCGCTAGTGGCAACAAAATACACTCCTCAGCACAATGTAATGAACCTTATGATATGATTTTGAATAATACAGTACATAAAACAATTATTTTGCAGGCTAAGGCATAGCTAGTTTTTCTGTACGGATAAGGACAGCTACCATACAAGTTATAGTATTGATTGTTGGACCATCAACAGAAATGATGTAGTTAGGGAAAGCTGCACTGCCAGCTCCATGATAATAGTTCACTATAAGCCATGTTAAGACTGTTATGACACCTCTTTAACAATTACACATGCAATATGGGAAGTGACAAAATCATGCAAATACTACCATACCTTATATAGATACTACAATATTACATTTTCATGCCACCAATTATTTGCTTTGGAGATTCACTTTAAGTGATGAACTGACCACTGACAGTGAAAAATGTACAGGGTTTCCTTTTCTTTTTTTGGTCCCTGATGTTTTACATCAAGATTCAAATGGGCATTTTATCCGATGGCTACAATCAGTTCATCACCCCTCAGTGTTTCCTCAGTTCAGATTATTCAATATCTACTTTATTTTAGAACTACAAAAGTATATCTACTACACCACAGCTACATGCCAAGCTAAAAGGTGAAAGGTCATAGTACCAGGTCAAAAGTTGCGTCGAGGGGTCGCTTCAGTGATTTGACAGCCGACTGAGTCTTAATTAGCAGGCAGCGAGC